ATCTTATACACCCCCCCAGACCCAATTAAAAAAAATAGGCAAATGAAATGAATAGACACTTCTCAGAAGAACTACAAATGCCTATAAACACATGAAAAAATATTCAATATTTCTGGTCACTAAAGAAATACAAATTAAAACAACACTGAGATTCCACCTTACTCCAGAAAGAATGGTTATCATCAAGAAATCAAGTAATAACAAATGCTGGCAAGGCTGCAAGTGGCTGTAAAGGAAAATTTAGCTTTACTATGCTTATATTTCTAAAACATACCTGTGCCAAAGTGTTAATAATTGTTCATTTTGAGAGGGATTGAGGAGACAGATTTTTTATACTGTATATGCTTTATTTTTATGTATCTTTTAACTCCTCTAAAATCCTTACAGAAAGTTGATATTTCATGTTTGAATGCTTAGACTAACAAAATATTGTTTATTTTTGTCTTCTAAATTAATTAGTATTAAGTATCTGGGAAACACACAAATCTGTAAAATTAAGCACTGTATGTGTGTAAAATTCTCCTCATATTAAAAGGGGACTTCAAAGAATTAGGTTAGCTCATTTCTTACAAATATCACAACTTCAGCAACAATGCAGTACATGGAATAAATGCAAAATATTTATACTTATTTTTTCTTTAAAATAGCTTAGAGAAGCCTATTTATTACATGTACGGAACAATAACTAGTATAAAGCTACAGGGCATGTCAAAATAGGCTCAGATTGTTTTACTGTAGCCATTTTGGAATCACAACCCTTTACCATTTTCCTGGAGCATGACTTATGTTCTGCTTGACCATACCATCTGCACATTATTTATATCTTTAGGGTAGGTCAAATGTAAAAATAAAAAGGTAAAAACAATGATCTCAAACAACTGTATTGGCCACACCTCCTATGACCTAGAGACTTCCCAGGAGACCCAGCTTGTAAAGGTCCACAGCACTTCCCAAGATTACCAACCCTGGGGACTGACATGCTAACACACGAACCTTTAGGGGTACTATCTATAGTCAAAGTCAAAGCACAGATTAATGTTAAGTTGATGACAGCTCAGTCTGAACATGTAAAGAACATGTATTACTTTAGACAAATTTTTTCTTCTGTAACTTCTGTGGCTTGGTACATAAAGTTCAAATTTCTTCTAAGTTGTAGAACAGTTCTCCCTCAAATTGGTAAGCTGCAAAATTTCTCAATAAATGACAATCTATGTAATCTTGCCATTTTATATGCAGAGTTGTGCTTATAATTCTAGAGCCCATAGTATTACCCTTAAGTACTGACTAAAATTTTTTCCATGTATATGTAAGATTTGGGAAGTGATCAGTGGAAAATTCTAAATTTAGTTACCACACTGGTTATTTTTCTGAATGTACAGAATATGCATCTGAAATCTAACTTTAGCCACTAGTTACAATAAAGATCCCAGTAATTTTCAAAAAGTAAAAAAATTCCAAATTCTGATTTTTATCCTTTTCAGTAGTTATGGCTTGTGTCTAGATGTCTCCCCAAAGCCTCATGCAGTCATAGGTAGCTTTTTCAGAGGTTGCTGAATCTAGAGTATAGACAGTGTGAGCCTGGGACTGATTCATGATACCATGCTAGGCTCAAGGGTGTTAGGATTAAGAGCGTGAGTGCTACCTGCCCTAGGTAGTCTGGATAAAATACAAGGGGCAGAAAGATGCTGTTAAAAGTTTCTTGTTGCTTTTGTTACCTTCTGGCACCATGAACTGTTTCTCCTATGCAAGCCCTGTCTGCCATGCTACTCTGCCTTGGAGCCAGCTGATTATCAACTGAAACCTCTCCAAACTGTGATCTTAAAAAACTTTCCCCCTTTAACTTTGGGTGTTGGGTATTTTTTTTCTCAGCAATGACAGAAAAGTAACCAACACAAGTACTTTCTTTAATATTTGATCTTTTTAACCTTTCCAACTTCTACAATAATCTGTATTTAAAAGCATAACTGCATATAAACAATAAAATGTAAGCTACATCTGTAATGTTGTAGCAAATACATGACATTCAGTTTGCAAGAGTTACGTTCTGAAATGGCTAAAATTTAGTGATATGGTGGTAGTCATGTAGTGTCCAGGGAGGAATGTATCTGAAAGCAACTCATTCGAACAAATATCATCGTCTCTCCAAAATGCACATGAACTCTTTAATAACTTAAATATCTTTACTGTAATTATCATTTTATAAATATTTTAAATCTCTGATTAAAATGTGCCAGGTATCATACCTCAAAAAGTTGTCAACAAGAGAATTAGAAATTTTGTCAAGAATAAAAAAAACTATGTCTTTTACATATTTTAGTTAAATCCCCAGTGTATTATTTTGATCCCATACCCATAATATATACAATCAAGGAACCCCAAAGTAAGTGGTCAGGCCACTAGTCCTGTTAAGAGTACTCAACTTCTCAATGAAAACATTCCTGTTCCAAAGAGAATGAGGAAAATTATTTTTGTAGCAACTGTGGCCTTTATATACAATTTGGATCATCAACATCAGAATTTATCCTGTACTAGTCAGGAGAAGTCAATGGTATAGTACATATTTCAGAGAAAAGTAAAGAAAGTTTAAATGTTTTTGATAACATGGAGACAGAGTCTAAGAAATACACTGTTAGGTGATTTTGTCTTTGTGCAATCATCATGTATGTAATTATACAAGGTAAGTTGGCTATTTCCCCAGTAAATACAATAACATGGGACAACCATTATAATAAGTTTAAATCAATTTCTGTCAAATAAAAATATGGTGTGTCCTCATCCACCTTATTCACTGGATCTGGCACCATGAAGCTGTGGCTCTTCTCCAAAGTCCACATGACCATGAATGGTAAACATGCTGAATCCATTCAGGACATCAGAGAAAGCCATGAGAGTGAAAATAAAGACACTCGTGAAAGAGGACTTCTAGATCTGCTTCAGAAAGTAGTAAGAACAGTGGGAAAAATGTGTTAGAAGTGAGGGGAAATGTTTTGAGCAGGATTAATGGCAATGTCAACTTTACTGTAATCATTTTACAAGTTAAACGTGCACTATATATTGTGATCACACCTTGTATATAGAGTCTGTCACTGATTGAAACTTTTTGTGATACATGACTGTAGTAAAGTTGAGAGTTTAAGATTAAGATTTTTTTTCTTTTTAAACAAACTCCTTCATTTCATCATGATATTTGCATACACACACCAAAAAAACACGGGAATACATACAGTTTTATAATAACATAAGGAGATATGAGACAAAACATCATTTAATTAGAGAAGGAAGGAATACAGTGTGGGAGAGTGAAAAAAGAACGGGAGAAAAAGAGATGGAGAAAAAAACAAAACTACACAGAGAAAGAAAAATAAAAGAAGAAAATTTGAGCCACTAAAATAAATACAGGTTAATAAATCATTTTGGGAAATCTGCTTTTCATACAGCGATTGGGGTATCAGTGAGTATGTCTAAACTCGAACACAGAAATCACGTGTCAAATTTATAAGGCTAAATTTGCAAGACCAAAAACTTCCAGTATGTCTGCAATGTAGGTAAGATTTGGGTACAAAACTACTCTGTAAATGAAGCCAGAACAAAATTCTTTGTTTGTATAACTGGTATAACACTAATGCTTTACAATTGAAATATTTCTAAGTATTGTTTAAATCAAAGTATTCCATATTAGACAATTTAAGTGTAATTTAAAATTATATATGATAGTGACTTATTTCCTAATATGATAATTTTTAGTATAAACTAACAAATTCCCAACAATAATTTCATATAGAAGCAAATAACTTTAAGAATGGAGACTTAAGGAAAAAACAATGTTTTCTTTTTCATTTACTCTAAGTTTAATTTGTGGTCAGCAGGAGGGAGGCATAATGTGCTAAAAATTACTGCAGAAGACTTGATTCAGCAGAACAGAAACATGGATGATTATTGGAATACATTAAGATAGATACTTGTGGTAACATATTCCAAATTTATAATAGTATTTGCAGAGAGTAAATGAAGAACTTATTAGCTTAATAATGTAATTTATAATCAGAAGATATTTTATAGAAATGGACAAATGGGCAATCTAAATGAATTTATGAAGGCTTTTCTTCAAAACTAAGTAATAACATAGCACAAAGTATATAAAAATATTAAAAAGTGGAAAAAACTAAGTGGAAAAGGAATGCTAGTAAGTGTTTTTTTTATATAAAGTTCCTCTCCCTTGTAGGTTAGCCCTTAATGTGGACCTTATTAAAGAGGCCTAGTAATTAAACTAATACAGTAGTAATGTACTAATTTAGGCTAATACCTCGGATTTCTTAGCTCATACATACAAAGAGTGATCAAAATATGGTGAATGTTTAAATTTTTAAAAATTTATTACAATAAAAGACACCACATTGCCATTAATCTTTCACAAAATAATATGCTCCTCTCTTTGAACACATTTATCCCATCATTTTTGCCACTTTCTGAAGCAATTTAAAAAATCTTCTTCCATGTCTTCACAAAGTTAGATGTGATTAAAAACAACAATAAAAAACAAAAACAAAAAAACAGTGAATGCTGCTGCCATGTGCCATGCAAGAGAAGGGCCAACTTGTAAAAGCATTGCAATGTGTTCTCATCCACCTTATTCACCGGATTTGGCACTGGAGGACTTCTGACTCTTCCCCAGAGTCAGAATTACTACGAAAGGTAAGTGTTTTGAATAATTTAGGACACTGAGGCAGCTGTGACAGTGCAACTAAAGACACAACCAGGAAGAAGAACTTCCAGAATGGCTTCAGAGAGTGGCAAGAATGATGGGATAAGTGTGTCATAAGTGAAAGGCAGTATTTTGATGGCAATTAATGGCAATGTGCCAATTTTATGCAATAAACTTTTAAAATTTAAACATTCACTGTAATTTATTTCATATGTCAAAATAAATATGAACTAAACAATGTAAAACAAAATATCCATTTATATAACAAACTCTATTGTAACTTAAAAGTTCTCTTTACCTTTATTGTTTGTCTGCTTATCTGTAAACGCTGATCAGATATTTGCTGTTGATGGAGAAGTTTTTCATTGACTTCTTTACATTCTTTAACACACAATTCTGCTGATTTCTTGGCACTTTGGAGTATACTATTTTGCTGTTGCAAGGATATAATCCGTTCTCGTAACAAAATAATATTGCTACTTGATTTCTGGACAGTTACATTTTTGTACTTTTCTCTGTTAACTATACAAAAATAATATTCATAATATTTTAAATGTCAGATTAAACTTTAAAAGACAATGTATTACAAAATCCATATGTATTCTTACCTGTGGTTGGAAATATTGTATGTGAACTCTTATGCATATTATCATTCTTCTTTTGAAAAGTCATTTTTTTAATACTCTTGTAATCCTAAATTAGAAAGTTTTAAAAAATCTGGTTATTTTTCAAATGAACTGTCCTTATCACTTTCTCATCACTAGAACAAAGTACCCAACACCCACAACTTAAAGGAGAAGTTTATTTTGGCTCACAGTTTTTAGAGGTTTCAGTCCATAGCTGGCTTACTTCTAAGCAAAAGGGACATAGTAGAAGGGCCTGGGCAGAAGATAGATGCTCATCCCATGGCATCCAGGAAGCTGATAAAAGGGAGGAGCCTGATACATCCTTCCCAGTCATGCCCCCAGTGAACCCTCTCTTTCAACCAGGGCCTACCTCCTAACAGCATATTCAGCTATAGACTCATCAGTGAATGAACCCACTACTGAATACAGGGCCCCAGAGATCCAATCACTGTCTAAAAGCCTCATCTCTGAACATGAGGCTTTTTGGTGGTCATTCTAGATCTAAACTATAACATGAACTGACATAATAAGTAATGTCTCCTTACTTAAAAAGAAATTTATTAATGTAGAGTTAAGAAAAAGCCTGAACAATAAAATTCTATTAGTATCTGTATTATAGAACTCACAAATATTTTGTTTAATAAAAATAAAGGAAATTTAAGGTTGAACTAGTATGCAGAAGACATGGGTACAAAATCAACTCAAAAGAAGTAGAACTTAGGGGATTTAGTTCAGTGATTCTGCCGCCTGCCTCGCAAGCGCAAGGTCCCAAGTTTGATCCCCAGTACCAAAAAAAAATAAGTAGAACTTAACCTAAGGGTAGTTTTTTAAAACTAGGATTAAATGCAGTAACAACAAAAATAAAATACAAATATGTAATGACTTAGTCTCTGGCAATCTAGGTTCTTTTCTCAGACTTTTCTTGGCTGGATGTAGACAAATGATGCTAATAACACATGATGCTAAAAAATAGTGTTGAAAATAATAAAGTAACTTTCTTTGAAACTGCATGTTTTCCTCCTGACATTTTAATACTCTGTGATTAAATTAAATGAAACCATCATGTTGACTTTAGTGCCAAAATATTTTCCCAATTTGAAAATGTTTTCTCAAAGCAAAATTTTAAATAGGAATGTGTTCCAATGTATGTTAAATTCTAAAGGGCAGGGGATTTACCTCAGTGGTTTCGCCGCCTACTGCACAAGCACAAAGACCCGAGTTCAATCCCAGATACCAAATATAAATAAATAAATAAATAAATAAATAAATAAATTCTAGAAATAAAATGTTTCACTTTGTTTAAGAATTTATAGGCTGAGGAATAGGAATATATTCAATCTAGAAATTATTTCTTATTACAAGAACTTTGTCAAAGATCCCAGTTCAGGAACAAATAACTAATCATAGTAAAAATAAACTTAAAAAATAAATAGTGTTATGGTGACAATGAGCTACATATATTCTATACTGATGAATTCATAATTATATTATGTATAAGGTATGACCCTAATGTAACGAAACTGACATACTGTATATACCTATACCAGAAACACACAGTTAAGATAGGGTTTTTGTTGAAAACAAAACCTTAGATTTCCAGTAATTTGCCAATAATTTGTTCTGCAATTGTTCCACAGATGAGCAAACATTTCTAATAAATTTTAACTTAATAAACAAATGATGTCCTGCACTATGAGTAGTATGTAATGCTGAACGTCACACAAACACAACTGAGCCAGTGGTTTTGCTCTCGCTCTCACTCTCGCTCTCACTCTCCCTGTGAGACTGTGGGTAACTACCTCCCAAAAGCAAGAGATTATGGAGGTCTACCTGCACAGGAAGACAAAAATCTCTCACTTCAAGTGATATTAGAAAGATGTATAAAATGTGGGAAACTGCAAAATTTTGTAGAAACTGTCAACCGAATAAGGCTGTAGTGATGCAAAGATCTATTTAATAATGATGCAATGTCACATTTCTATGAAATCCTCAATAAGAGGCAAAAGCAATTGTTATTGGTAGGCTCCTTGTTAACATTGCTCAGAAAGAAAAGGATTCTATTGAACTAACGGATAGCAGTGAATCTGTTAGTAATAGTGAAAGCCATCCTACACAATAACCTTCCTCTCTTGTCACCCTCACACTGGCCATGAAGGTTTTCAAAGGTAAATGCAGATTAACTTGTTTACTTTTCTTTATATTTTGTATTTCCTTTATTCTTTTGTATTGTATTACAGTATTGCAATCTTTTTATATTAATATTTTGGGGTTGGGGAATTAATCATCTGCATTTCCATTATTTCTTATGGGGAAATTCACTTTGATACACAAATGCTTTGGATTACAAATGTGTTTCTGGAACAAATTATGCTTGCAAACCAAGGTTTTACTGTAATTAGTTTCAGAGATTATAAAATGTTAACAATTTTCATTTCTTAAAATACATTTGAAATACCTCACTTGAACTTGTCATCAAAACTGGAAACTAAGATACAGTTTTATAAATGTTTAATGCTAAGCTCTATTAGAATTTAAGTGTTGGTCACATACTAAGCACTGTTAAAACATTCCAAACTGAATTACTATTATTAGTCACCAGATACAGTATCAAATTAACTAGACCTAAAATAAAAGACAACTGGTCTTCTGTTTACAGAAGTATACTAAACTAGAAATCCAGGTTTCAGATATCTTCAGCGCTCGGACCAGAAGAGATGAAGCAAAAATGAAAACCCAAGGAACTCATCACTACACTGTTCCTTAAGTCTTGAGATCCTACCTGGTCTTCTGCCTTTCCTTGAATTTTCAGAATCTTATTGTTTTGTTTTAAATTATATGAACACAGTCACTATCAAAATCCCCAAGAGATTTTTTGTTGAACTTATACTAATTCTAAATTCATTTTGAAGACTAAAAACACCACGTATAATGAAGAAATCCTTGAAGAATGGAGGGCATGGAGGACCTTGTTCTAGTAGCAATTCAGTCTACTATAAAGTAACAGTAATGAGACAGCACTATTCAGCTAAATACAGAGATAGAATGGATGCTAAAGTCACAAGACATATCCATATATATAATAATGTATATATTATATAAGGTATATATTAATGTTTCATATAATATAATTTCATATAATATATGTTATATATGGAATATATATTATATGTAATATGTAATATATAATGTTTCATATAATATAATGTGTATATATAATATATTATGATGTATATAATGTATATTATATATGATCTATATATAATGTTTCATTTATATCAAAGTCATCATTGCTGAACATAGTGGGGAGAAAATTCATGACAAATGCACTGAGCAGAGAGGGGAAAAATGTAAAATTTAATCACTATTTTAGATCACATGTAAAAAATCAATGCTAAACACTGACATGAAATCAAGATAATAAATCAGAAAATACAGAAAAAGATAATACTGAAGATAGTACAGAAATTTATGTAAGTGGGAGTAGGGAAAGATCTATAGTAGCAAAAAAAGTGCTACTCATAAAGGAAAAATGGATATATTGTAACAAACTGGTACTTAAATATTTTCACTGTATACTTCAAAGAAGATATAACATAAGGATTCAAATTTAATTACTAGCAAAATTTATTTATTTAAGTTATAAAGCATAGGATAACATTTAGAAAATAATGAACAAAATTGTACCTCATACCTTTGGGGTCTTGTCATCCATATTTGAATACATTTGTACTATTTTTTTTCCTTGTATTTGGTTATTTTCTGTTTTATCACTTTGTTTCTGGTCTTGTCTCTCTTCTGTAGGGCTTATTTTCTGGGATGTTTCCACAATAATTGTCCCCAAATTTTGAGAGGTCTGTGTTTCAGAATCACTGCTTTTAAAAAATGGGAGAAAATGACAACATAAAATTCAAAAAAAGTTGTTACATGTTACTTTTTTAAGTTTTAAGATTAAATATAGTATGCATTGTATATAAAGGTATAAGTTTAATTTGGGCATTTGCTGATCCTCAATGGTAAAAGGAAAAATTAGTTTAAATATATTTTATTAAATTTTAGAATCACATTAAGAAAATAGATATCCAGTATCAAATCCCACCAGCATAACTTCTAGAGAATTTCCACCAAATGTTAACTCAAGAAACACATGCTTTAACACTTTCAGAGTTTGAGCATGCATCACCTTCTGAGTTAGACCAGCAAGGTTTAATTTTTCTAACAGTAAGTTCTTCTTCAGTTCAAAATACTAATCTCTCAGGCTTTTACTCATTGACTTGTTCCATTCCTTATGGCCATTTATCATTCAATAAAATACTTGTTAAACACTAACTATGAGTCACATACTTTTTCTAGCCACAGGGATAAAGTACTAAATAAACAAAATAGAAAAAAAAAAGCCTCAGCCTTCATGGAACTTTTGTCACACTGATGACTAGAGAATAGGAAAAAAGAAGAAGTAAAATACATAGTATCATAATAGTGATGTGTTTAAGAGAAAAAAATCAAGGAAGAGAGATTAGAAGTTTTGGGGTGAAGTAAAACATTTAAGTCTCTTTTCCACAGGCATGATCTTTCAACTATTTTGACAGTTATGTGTTGCTCAAAATCTCTGCCTTGTTAAAATGTTTCTCGTATATATGCTTTTGAGATGCTTTACCACTCCCTCATTCTTGAATATGCACTAGCTTATGATGATGAGGCGTCATGTCCAGAATTCAATTTCATATTCCAAGTGCAATATACTATGAGAAGTACTTCATAGAAATTCTGGTAGATGCAGACTAAAATTGTGTAAGCTCTTCTGGTCATGTGCATCACAATATACACTCATATAATTAAGAAAACTTCTAAAAATATTTCTATATGGACTATTATAAAATCCCGTATTTTCCCATTGTGTTCTTGAACAAATAGCATTTTATAACTAAGTAAATCACCTTGTAGACTCTCATATAATTGTATCTTCCCAGTATATTGAAAATTTTGGAGGTCTTGATTCTATACTGTTTCCATCTTGATTCTACTATTTCCATCTCTTTTAATGTCATGCTATCCACAAACTTGATAAATATGCTTTGTTAGAATTCAAATATACTATATTTGGTGTAATCATATCTTTAAAAGATAACGGGTTAATCTAATAAGACTTCTCCTTGAAGAATCTGTGTTTTGAAAAATATTCACAAACTATTTTTTATAATAGTCTAGATTTTTATTTAGGATTTATTTCACAAAAAATTGAGATAAAAGTTCTTGCTTATAATAAATAACAAGCAGTCCAGTAAGGGTACAGTATAAGGTTGAAAGCAAGGAGACCAGTTAGGAAACCTCTTGTAGGATACCAGAAAACTGATAATAAGAGCTTTAATGTTGATAGTGATAGGAGTGATGAAAAGTGGTCAGATTCTAGACATTTTTTAAAGAAAACCACTAGTATTTCCTGATGGATCAGATACAGACTGGAGGCAAGAATGATTCCAAATTTTTGGCCAGAGTGACTACAAGAACAGAGTTACCATTATATAAGAGGAACACAAGAGCTGAAACAGATTTTGTGTGGGAAACATCAGAAGTATGGATTACACATTAGATATCTAAGCATGGTGTTAAGCTGACTTAGCTTTGCAAATCTAAAGTTGAGCAGTGAGGTCTGGTTGGGATATATATCCGGGCATGACTGATAATAAAAGTGGCAAAGATAGTTAAGTATAGTGTTGAGGTCACAAAAGAATATAGAAAAAACAAAACAAAAATCAAAGAAGAGGTCCCGGACCAAGGCTTTTGAAAAACTAAGACATTTGGGGAAAAGGGAAATCAACAAATGACACTGGTGGAATGTCAGCAAGAAAATAAACAGTGTAGTGTGGTGAAGTATTAAAATAAGAAGTAAAAATCAACAGGGTAAAATGCTGCTGGGAGGTCAAATAAGATAAGAACTGAGGAAATGACCTTTAGATTTGACGATTCCTAAAAAGAATTGTTTTGGAGAGATGATGAGCTAAAAGGAGTTGGAATAAAAAGGATGCAAAAAACTTTTTCAGGTTTTTCTGCTAAGGACAATACAGATAGAGGACTAAATGACACAAGAGTACAAAGAGTACAGTGAGTCGTGTGGTTTCTAAACATAATTCTCTTAATTTCTCCTCAGTAACTAGGATCTGGCTAATCCGGTTAAATAACTCAAGTGGCTCCCTTTGATGCCTATTAGCACAAAAGTATGAAGAGTCCAAATTGGGCAGGATATAGTCTTAACTTCTGTCCTTGTAGACCAAAGTAGTGTTTGTTCCCTAAAAAATAGTATTCTTACTGCGGGGACCAGGTTTCTCAAATCCAATGAACTTGAGGTCACAAATAATGAGAAGAAAGCTCTTCCAGTGAGTTATGTGGTTACTAAGAGAGGCCACTTCAACATATAACCCTTTATCCCTGGACTCATGCATTCTCAGAGACTATTATCTCAAGGCATATCCCCTATTCAATTTTATCTTCTAACTGGTGCCATAACTGAGCTACAGAACATCTATTATGTTTTATTTTTCTGTGGTCCTAGGGATTGAACCTAGACCCTCTGCACTGAGCTATATTCCAGCTACACCCCCACCCCTTTTATTTTTTGTTTTGAGACCTGGTTTTACTAACTTGCTAAGTTGGCTTGCTCCACATTTGGTTTACCCTTGGCATAAATCACCAGAGGTACCCACATTCTGACTGACCTGACTGTGGAGGAGGACAATGTCCTGGGAGAGAAGGTAAGCCTGGAGGGCTCGAAGCTCTAGGAACAAACAACAGACTCTGCCAGCGCAGCTAGGTCAAGAAAAGCCCACGGCTATTATAAACTGCAAAAAAGAATGAAGTTTTGCTCAAACAGTGACTCCACACAGCAGGCAGATGAGAGCTGAATAGGAAAGCAACTGCAGCACCTGCCATAATTGAGAGGGTTAAACTGAGAGATACTTTGGGAAGGGGTCATATATTTAGGGCTCAGGAACAGAACAACTTTAATCCAAGGTTTCCAGTTCAATTCAGAGTTCCTACAGTTACCATACACACTGATTAGATGAGAAACAGTCACAAAAGACAGTCACGGAGAATGTGGAGACAGACACAGACACTGAAAACTGTAAGCTCAAGTAGGGAAGAACACAGGGCTTCACCTTTCTGGGGGAGATACCAGGCCTGGTGAGTATGATTTGCAGAGTGGCTGGATCTAAAACTAATGGCATTAAGCTCAGCAGTCTACTAGAACCTGCCTGGCTTCTTACATCCAGAACAGAGTTCAGTAGTGTCTCCCATCTACCAAGGTGAACATGAGCACAGTCTGGGGAGAAGACAGAGGAACCTCTGGAGTAGGAGGCTTACCCACAGGAGGGGTACAGCCCATGAAGCTAGGCAGAAAAAATGGTGACATGATGGATTCCAAGACTGAAAACCCTAGGAAAGAATCACTCATTCCAAAATACAGAGGAATTTAACTAAATTTTTTCTTTTTTTTTTTTTTTTTTAAGTTTGAGGTTCCCCCACATACACTTTTAATTTTTATCTTCTTATTTTTTCCCCTTTATTTTGCTTTCTGTTTGCTCTTTTTTCTACTTTTTCTTCTTTGTTCATTTATGGTATCTTTATTCAATTCCTTCTTGAAGACAGCTGTAACTCAGGTTTGTCAACTGAAGGCTCAGGCTCCTCTACTCACCCTTCAAAGTCTCTTTCCTGTACACAGGCAGATCTCAGCATCCTTAGAGAGACATTGGCCCAGGATTTCTCAATTAACCCCACACAGGAAAGGATGTTGTAATGCTCCTTCCAGAACTCTTTAAGGGTTCAATCTGTATCTGAGACCATCTGGAAGCATGAGCAGCTGGCATCTGGGATGCAACTCAAGACTTTGGAAGTAAGTTAAAACTAAAATTCCGGTCATAACCCAAGATGCTCGTATGTTAGGCCAGCTGTAACTCGAGGGTCTACTGTACACCTTAACAGGATTCTTTGTCTCATTTTTCTCTCCTACTTATTTCCATTGCTTAGTTTTTCAAATATTACTTTTTTTTTCATGCTCCCATTCCCTATCCCCTCAGTCTTTACTAGTATAACCTATTAACCACTATTAATCTTTAGATAGTAAGTTAACACTCTGCCATTATAGCTATATTCTTTAATATTGTTAGTGGAAATATAGTTGTTGCATTTAGTATATATATATTTTTTGGTACCGGGGATCAACCTCGGGACCTTGCACTTGTGAAGCAGGCTGCAGAACCACTGAGCTAAATCCCTGACCCCAGTATATATTTACTATATGTCAATATTTGGTTTGTCTTACTAGGCTTCATCCCAAAGTTGCAAGTGATGGTTCAATATATGTAAATCAATCAGTGTCATACATCACATAAACAGAAGCAAGGACAAAAATCACATGATCATATCAACAGACATAGAAAAAGCCTTTGAAAAAATCAAACATCCATTCACGATAAAAAATACATAAGTAAATACATATAGGACCTTATCTCAATTTAATAAAAGACATTTATAACAAACCTAATGCCAACATCATTTTATAGGGAAAACATGAAAGCTTCTTTCTACAATCAGGAACAAGACAAAAATGTCCACTATCACCCCTCCTTTTCAACATGGTACTCAACATGTCAGACAGAGGAATCAATCAGGAGAATGGAATAAAAGGCATATATATTAGAAAGGAAAAATCCAAATTATCATTAATTGTAGTTGCTATGATCCTCTGGATATAAGACCCAGAACAATCGAAAAAGATTCCCAGAATTAAAACCCAATTTAGTAGTGCATTAAGATACAAAACCAACATACAAAACTGTATACCAATAATGAACACACCAGGAATGAAATTAAGAAGAGT